TTTATTTTAATATCATAGTGAGAAATATGATTAATATACTGTTTGGTACTCTCAAAGTTCATATACGATTAGACATCCAGCTGGTTGGGAAGCCAGTTTCAGAAAAGGGAATGGCTGAACTGCCTGGTGTTTTCCCCCTTACACAAATCTCAAATGGGATCCCATGCTAGGTATGCAGTTGAGAAAGGGGAGGTTTCCTGTACCTGGATGGAATTTGGGGTGGGTGAATGAAGGGAAGTGTGTTCAATGAGGTTGGGCCCAGCCAGAAAATGTAGACGGTGCTCCCTAGAATCCATCCCCACCCCAAGTCAGGCATGCTAATACCTGTCTGACTGTGAGAGACTTTGAATCTGTCCTTTTGTCATGGTTGGATCACAGCCTGTTGAGATTAAGACTAATGGTGATATTTCCCATTGCAAGTGTGGGGAACTGATTCTGATGGTCTGCCTTTCAAGGCTCATGGATCCCGAGGGTTTGCAGATGGCTCTGGGGGAATTTCCATGTGATAAGGCCAGCATATCTATCAAAGCCCCCTCAAATCTTCAGAATACAGGTGGGACCTGGATGCTTGACATTATTGCTCCTGAATGCCACCTCTCTATTGATTATTGTAATGTGCTGTACGTGGGGCTGCCCTGGAAATTGGTCTGGATACTTCAGCTGGTACAGAATAGAGCTGCCATGCTGCTGATGGGAACCAGTCCTTATTCACACATAAAGCTGGTCCTCTACCAGCTACACTGGCTTCCAGTTGAAGTCCAGACACAAATCCGGGTGCTGGTTTTAACCTGTAAAGCCCTGAATGGCTTGGGACCAGGAAACCTGAAGGAACTCCTCTTCCCTTATATGCCCTCATACCGCTTAAGATCTGCAGGAGAGACTCTGCTCCAGGAACCCTCCCCAAAGGAGGTAAAAAGAACATCTACTCAGAGCATGGCCTTCTCTGTGGTGCTGTCCAGATTGTGGAATGTGCACCCTGGAGAGCTGTACCTGGTGCTGAGTTTATATTTATAACTTGGTGCCATGTCAAAACCTTTTTATTTAATTGCTAGTTTTAAAAAAAATAGTATTTTCATCATTCTGAGCAGTCACTTTGATTTTGTCTTTCATTTAATTTTTATTGAATTATGTTATTTATATATGTGATTTATTGTATCTCAATTTTATGGGCTGTGAGCCGTCCTAAGAATTCAAGGCATAAGGGACTGCATAAAAAAGTTTTAAATAAATTAGTAAATATTAAATTGGACTCTGCCCAATGGTATATCCCTGAGAGGAGAGCAATAGATCTGTCAAAGAAGGAGAAAAACTCCTAGTGGGTTCCGTCAAGCCTTGATAAGAGCCTATTATCAAGAATATTGGGAAACTATGGAGGCAGGAAAGAAACAATATCTCACTGCCTCTACTCCATCTTATAGTCGCCACTCACTGGAATGTCTAAGGTTTCCCTGGGGCCCATTGTTTGCTGACCCCAAGAACCATTTGTACACATCTGAGGTACATGTCAATATAACTTCCAGGAAAAAATCCACCTGTTCCTGACTCATTTTCCAATGGTTCAGTTTGGTAAGTTTTATACTTATCCTGGATGAGTTTCATTAGGTTCACCTTGTGGATGTTGTTATATTCAATCAGTATTAAAACTCATTGAAAACAAGGAAGCATTCCATTGCAACCTTTATTTACAATGGATACATAATTTTCCTTGGATCACATCCTTAAATTTCCTCAGTTTTATTTATTTATTTATTTTTTATTTCCTTCTTAGGTGCTCTCTGTTGTTCAGCTCAGGCTTCAACAACATAATGTAGCATTTGGGAGAAAAGATACAAATCAGTAACCCAGCACTGGAGGCCAGGATGGAGAAGATCTCCACAGCCACCAGATACTTTCCTTTTGTGCTTAGGTATGTTGGAACAAAGGACACCCACACACTGCAGAAGACCAACATGCTGAAGGTGATGAACTTGGCTTCATTAAAACTATCAGGCAGGTTCCTGGCTAGGAAAGCTACAGAGAAGCTTATGATAGCCAGGCACCCCATAAATCCTAAGACACAATAGAACATGTTGGCAGACCCTTCATTACATTGCAGGACAATTTCCTTATTCATTGAGTGCATGTCAAAATCTAGGAATGGGGGAGAGGTGGCCAGCCACAAAATGCAAAGAATGCCTTGAATAAGAACACTGGAAAGAACGATGGAGGATGCCAACTTCTTCCCAGCCAACTTCCTCATTGGGGACACAGGCTTGGTGGCCATGAAAGCCAGAACCACAACAATGGTTTTGGCAAAGACACAAGAAACAGCCACTGAGAAAATTATAACAAAGGTTGTTTGTCGAAGGAAATACGTCACCTTCTCCGGCTGGCCAACGAACAGCAAAGTGCAAAGGAAAGAGAGCAGGAGTGAGATGAGAAGGATGTAGGTGAGGTCACGGTTGTTGGCTTTGACTATGGCTGTGTTGTGGTACTTGATGAAGATCCCAAATACTAAAGCTGTGATGAAAGAAAATGAGAAAGCAGCAACAGACAAACTTAATCCCAAAGGCTCCTCATAAGTCAGAAAGGTAATGCTTTTAGGGATGCACTTATTCTGGCCATTGTTTGTGTAGTGATCTTCTGGACATAGAGAACAGTCATCCATATCTGAAAAACATTATTTTTAATATAGTTCTGCCTCGTAGATAGGGCATTGGAATAAAGAAATCTGAACAAGAGTTCTAGCCAAAATTAAATGGAAACATTTCGGTTTCATATTCCATCATGTTGGCAGCAACCTGAGTTGCAGAGTTAAGGGCTATCGCAGCCAATCCATTCCGTTTATGAATTGGGAATTTCATCATTGCAGCCATTGTGCAAGAAACAACAGCCCCTCCATAATCTCCATATTTCATATAACCGTTCAACTCATATTCCTTTCATTTCAGATATTTCACATATATTCAGAAACATGTATCCAGAAGTAGCCCGGAACAGAATCTGGTGAGTGTACTGATAACTACTGATTTTGCAGGATTTCCGTCATCCTGTGAAGGATGAAGGAAGCATAGAGAAGAAATTCTCCTTTGCAGTCCTCATGTTCTTCAAAGCATTTCACTAACCATTTTCAGGTGTGTAAGTGTGGTGCCTTACTGGGGGTAGGGGGGGAATGCGCAGTCAGAATGCATCACCACTTGGCAGTGCTGCTCTCCTCTCTTTCCTCCCAC